GTACAGTGCTTGTGTCGCAACGTTATTTAATAAATTTATAGTTGTTTACTGCCGATTTTATATCTGAATAGTCTTTTCTCATCCTTTTCGATACGAAATTCTTCCTTTTAGCACGACATTCTCGTTTTTCGGGCATAAAAACTCCTTTTTAGCGCAAAAATTTTTCATTTTAGCATGAAAATTCCTATTCAGCACGAAATTCTCTCTTTTCAATACAAAATTCTTTCTTTCAGCACGAAAATTTTCATTTTTCAGAATGAAAATTTTCGCTTTTTAGCACAAAGTCTATTTTAAAGGACAAATTTTCCCTTTTTAACACGAAACTCATATCCATTGCTGATCCATTTTCGCATCATGAAAGTAAAAGTAAGCAAAACGGCTAAAACATTTAAATTATCTAATAACAGATATGAATAAAATAATGATAATGATAGCGGTTGTTATAGTTTTAATGCGATTTTGAGAAAAACCGGATAAAAATAAAGAGCTTGTAAATTATTAATGTATACAATTAAGTCATCCCGAGTGCAACTATTATTTTAATGATGCAGCTTTTCTTATAATGATTATCTTTATGCTTCATCGTTTCTTATTTTCATTCATTAACTTCTAACAGATTTTTTCCCCATTCTGTATACGTTATTTAAAAAATAACTACTGTGTAATAATAATAAAGGATACAAAATAAATCTTTATTATTAAATACCTACAATTTTTAATTTTATATTTTAGAAAAATACGAATATAAAATTTTACTTCGCTCATAGAAGAGCACGGTAATGAAGCGGTCGATTTTTTTTTATTATTATCTTACTCTACTCATTATTATCCATTATCCTTAAATATATGATACTTAATTGAGCGATAATTTAGTATTTTAACATAATTAATTACCAGTTTTCTGAGAATTTTTTAAAATTTTTTGACAATATTGTTTTGTTTCCTCTACACTTCTAAACGTCTGGGTGAGCAGTTCATTAATCGAACATAGATTTGCTCTCTGCATAGGAAGTTTGCGCCGTGCTTTCTACATCTACAACAGATCTAACAAAGTAGAAACACACACAAAGAAGTGTTGAACGTGTCAAAAATAGTTTCATTATAGCTATTTAACATGTTAATTAAAACTCGTAGTATTAAGTGTGAGTAAAAATACTACTCAAGAGTTGATTAAAGTTGTGTTTTAATTTTTAAAACAAAGACACGAGAAAATTAATAAAGCTAAAATTAGCTTATACCTATTGAAATTGTTTAAGTTTTTTTACTGGTGCAGCTAAGAGACCCTCTACCTTATGTTTATGTAACTATAGAGTTGAGATAAGAAATGATGCATGGTGTGACACACAACGTTGACTGGCAACTATTAGTAGAGTAAAGACGACAAACTACCCTCGGTTGTCACCTCTAGCCCACCTCCAGTTCGTCAACGTCAAGTAGGCCAAATCTAGACATGTGTCTTATCAGTAGGCGACTCTTCATTGTCTGCAACTGGCGCCTACCAGAAAAGAAGCTTAAGAGATGTAATTCAAAAAGAGAAATTATCCGAATTATTTTCTTAATTTAAGTAACTGAAATTTAATAATTAAACAAACGGAATAATCTTAAGATGTAAGTTTTAATCGCCTTAAATATGAGTAATATTCTTACATCACTTACGATGTTGAAAATTTATCGAAACAACGAAAGCTTGCTAGCGGACGTTTCTCTTAAATAATCATTTTTAAATTAAAATAATTTAAAATATTTAATTCTTAATGGATCTATACTCTAATTTTAAGCTTTTTAACTGTAGAATTTAATAAGATTTTAAATTATACACATTTCTAAAATTTTAACGCGTAAAAATTAACACTTTATAAACGCTCTTAATGAAGTAAAATGCACAGAAATTTATATATAAAAATTTATTTTACTAAATTTAATTTTATTATCATTTTGGAATAAAAATATATTGCTATTTTCCCCTTATTTTGTGAAAAATTTTGAGGAATAACACAGCTTTATAAGGATATAAAGGTATAAAAATTCTGACTTAACATTTGGTCCTTGAGTCTTTAGAGATTTCTCATAGATTTAGACATTCTACCCATAAATCCCAAGATAGAAATCTTCGTCAAATTAACTTAAGTGAAAAAAATTAACAGAAATTACAAAAAATAAATAGATTTTTCGAAGAAATGAAAGGATAAAATTAAAAAAATAAAAATAAGAGATTTCCTCGAAATTGCTGTAAGTTTGCTAAACTCCAGCTACCGGGTTGATGCGAGTCAGACATTTTTTATTTATAAAAAATACTCTGCAGGAATTGGAGTGTTTTTTTTATAAGTTGTGAAAATTGCATCCTTAAGAAGTACTGAAAAGCATAAGAGTTTCATTTGTGAGACTGAAACACATCATTAAAAAAATGGTATCCAAAGGTATTTAAACTGCAATCGAGAAGTTGCTAGAGACGAAATTAGAAGAGAATTAATGGGAAAACATGGTTAGAATAATAAATAGAATAATTGAGATGGACAAAACCCCGGGAAGCTTCAACTGACATATTTATAGAGATAATTATAAGAAATTATTCCGTTCTTTCCATTTTTCCTCTTTGCAAAGATAGAAATTGCAACGCATAAAATAATCATTTATTTAAAATTATTCTGTAGAAATGTATGAAAAAGAATTCATTGAAAAATTTAAAATTCTCGTAGTGTTCCTCAATATCATCGAAAAAAAGTATCTCGATATTAATAAAATTATTATTTAAAAAAAAATAAAACTAAAACTTTCCGTTGAATTTATTTTTAAAAAATGAAATTTTCACCCTTCGTATATATTGTATATAACAATTTCAGATTCTCACCCTCTTACGGCGCGTATGAGGAAATGAGATTTCACACCCCATACGGTGCGTATAAAACAATGAGATTCTCACTCCGATATCGTGATTTAGAAAAATGAGATTCTCATCTCCCATACGGCGTGTATGAAAGAAAAGTGATTCTCACCATTCTAAACGCTGTGTATAAAATAATGGAATTTTCATCCCCAAATGGGGTATATAAAATGATATGATTCTTATTCCCATACCGTGTGTATAAAAATTCAGATTCTCACCCCCCGAAATGGTATACATTAAAAAAAGAGGTTGACGGCCCCATACGAAGCACGTATAAAAAAATAATATTTTTCACTCCTTATTCGGTTGAGTTACAGAATCGTAACTCATCCGTAAATGAGATGAAAAAGTTTTAAAAATTAATTTGGCTGAAAATGTTTTGGAAATTTACGTGTTGCTAGTGCCTAAAGCGAGAATTTTCATTAAAATAATAGTAATAATCGGAAGGGATAAAAGTTGTGATTCAGTGTTTATGTTAGGAGATGGCAAACAAGCGTTAGAAAGAACACGTAAGAGACGTTTCTCCTTCAAGTAACATTATTACCTGACTGGATGACGGCTGCCATGCTCATGTAACCAAGAGATTGATAGCTTCCCTCTACAAATTAAGCGCGTTTTTCCTGTCACACCCAACCTCAATGTCTATAACTTGAATTTAAACAATTTCTCACAGTCGAGGTGTTGATTTTATTACTTTTTGAAAAATTTACTTTTCTCATATGTCAACTTAAACGTGAAAGAATTAATTAAAGGAAGTTAGATAACGTCGTGTTTTCGTGTTTTCGGTGCTCCCCTCCCTTCTTTTTATATACATATATATTTAATTTTAGTGTCGTGGATCGTGGTAGAAAAATAGTGACGAGGTCGAGTTACGTCGCACTCGAACTGTTTCAAATTTCTCTGTTGACCACGGCCATTCAACTACACGCTTGTTGGATATAAACAAAGAGTTCTTTCAAATGCATTAGATAATGAAGTTTATTCTTTTATTTTAAGAATATTTTCATTATATAAGGGAATATATCTACTTTGAATGGTGTTATATTTCACTACGCTATCTTAAGGTACTGTATTTATCAAGTTTTAATGTTGATAGCCAACGATTTTTCTTGTTATTAAGTGGATATAGTTAAGTGGATGATATTTTCTTTAGAAATTTAAGCGAAAAAGTACCAGCTGTTCGTACGGTAAAAGATAATTTATCAATTTTATGCAAATTATTTTCCTCTGTAAATTTTCTAATACATTTATTTATAAAAGAATTTAATCATACTTTAAATATAAGTTTTAATTCTTATCATAGTTAAAATTTAATCAGTTTAATGAAAAAGAAAAGTGCGGAAGCTTGCAAAATTTACTTCTCTTCTATATCCTCCTTTCTATACCTGCATCTTTAATACTAATACGTAATAAGCTCCATACCTATAATTTTACATTATAATATAAAATTATAGGCATAATATACCGTGAGTTTCACACGCATATTAATCAGTATATAAGCTTCTCACTTAGTTTAGCTAATGCATATGTAATTTCATTAATATTGTATGCTAATATATATGCAAGCTCCTCACTAATTATGTATAATAATGCACACGTAAATTCCCAATAATTTTATATACTGATGTATACTTAAGCTCCTCATTAAGTGTAAACTCCTCACTAATTTTATGTACTAATTAGCATGTAAACTCTAAACTAATTGTATTTACTAATGCACGTGTAACCTATGCTCTTCAACAAGTTCATGTATTAACATACTGTGAGTTCCAAAATTACATATTTAATAATAATAATAAACTCTAGATTTTATAGTTTGATATTTAAAATGCTATTAAATTAAAAAAAAAACATTAATAATGTAAAAATAATTCTAAATTTAACAAAAGTTTTTAGTTTTTCTAATTCAAATTTATCAGAGAAAATCTTCATTAATACTATTGATTTCAGAATTATAAAGAGAGAATGGAATCTTAATCGAAACAAATGACTAATTTATTAAATTAGAAGTGACAGGATTTCTTTTTCCTTTTTTTTTCCGAAATTAAAACATGAAAATAATTGATGTAAGTTGATTTTTCGCTAATTTTTTCCTTATTATTTGTTTTGCGGGAAGATTGGATTCGGTTTAAGAAAATAAAAGCAACAAGAGAAATCAATGTTTTGGACATTCCCTTAGAGAACATAGTGTAAATTGGTTGGATTGTGTAGCAGAGGTGGAAATGCCAAAATAATGAGAACATTGTTGGCAAAGAAAGCATTCAATCCACAGAGGAAAAGTCAAGACTTGACATTTAAGAACTGTCTTTTCAAATATAAGGTAATGGTATTGTTTTGATTGGAAAATCAACAAACTATTTTCTTTTCATTCATTTTTTTTTCTTTCATTTGTCTTAAAATAAAATTAATTCAAAATATCTCGAAAAACAGAATATTAATTATCTGCGAGATATTTTAGATTTAAAAAATTGATAAATTTTTTATATCAGAAAAAAAATATTGTAATATAAATCGTCTTTATTATTGTTTGAAATAACAAAATGTCTGATTTAATGCTGTGTTTCTCAACCTTTTTAAAGTACTAGACCTTAATATTACTTGGGAATAGGATTTATAACATTACAGAGTCGCGATTTACCAGTTTAGAAATTGTAGTCTCTAGAACTAATCATAGAACAATGAGATATAATAGACTTAAAATTTGACAAATTATGTTCTATTAGAAAAGATATTCGAATAAAAACTACTTTATTGGTTACGTTTTGAGATAATAAAATGGAAACAATATATAACAATTTTATTCTACGCTATTTCTCAATTTTTTCTTAAAATATTGAAGATTTCGACAGTAATTTTGAAGACCCTCATTAATTTTACACACTGATGCAGAAATAAACTGCTAATTTCTTGTTAAACTTCTAATTTCTTGTCGCTAATTTTAAATTCTAATGAACATGTAAAATCCTCATTAAGTTTATATAATAATACACAAATAAGCTCCTAATTTTATATTTTAATTTACACGTAAACCTCTCACTAAGTTTATATACTAATGTACAGTACAAGTTCCTGATAATCTTATTTACGAGGTATTAACAATATTCGTGAATTGGGATCGCGTTCTACCTGTTGAGTAACTTCTAAACGTATTAATACAGTATTTTCATTTAATAAATAAATAACTTGTTATAAAATTCTTATATAGTTTTTTTTTTTAAATTTTAACTGCTGCAACTTTATATTTTAAATTCTCGAAGTGAAGTATCTGTACATTGTAAACACCGAAGATAGATCTTTATATACACTATTACTGTATAACCTACGTATCTATACTTGGACTGTGAAGATACAGAATTCGAAATACTACACTTTCTTCACTTATACACGCTATAAAAATAAAGAAATGGACTTCTCATAGACACGAATTTGACGACAAATATGAAAGCTTACAGCTTTATACCATAAAGTAAGAATTGAATTTCAAATGTCTTATTTTCTTTTCTTTCTCATCTTCAATCGTCACTACTTTATTGAACTTTCAACGTTAAAATCACAGATATAAATAACGTTATATAGCAGATTTAACATTGAATATTTAGTACTATTTTTATGCTATAGATTTAACAGTTTAACTTATTAGTTTATACGACTGTATATTTATCATCAATTTTTTTTTTTTTTTTTGTATTATTTTCATTCTAGCCCGATTTAGAAAAGGGAGTAAAGAAGAGGCATTATCTCTTGTTGGTCACAACTGTATGTGCTTGCTATTATAATGCCCTAGAGTGTGGTTTTGTGTTTGATGACATGTCAGCTGTAAAAGATAACAAAGACCTAAGGCCAATAACACATGTCTCCAACATCTTTTGGAACGACTTTTGGGGTACACCAATTATAAAGGTGAATATTTAAAAAGTTTTTTTTTTCTATTTTTAAAATAAACTTTATCGTTTTAGTCGATACTTCACTTTCCAAACTAATATTTTTGAAGAGAAGTTTGTCAATGTGTAAAAATATTCTCACGTGAATTGCTCCATGTCAATACTTATTATCATTTTATTGACGATGGAATGTTTTATGATTGACATTTACTATATATATATATTTTTTTATTTCATTAAAGTTTTCTGAATCGTTTTTTAAGAAATATCTTCACTACATTTGCATGATATTGAAAGCAAATTCTTTTTATTTTTTTATTTCTTTTGGTGGCAATTTTCAATTCAATGATTTCTACTCATTAAATACGGCTTTATGGAGTGCAAAAAAATGAATCTCGATATTTTTCTATTTTTATACACATTTATATTGTCTTCCTTTTAAAAATTTGCTGAATTTGCTAAAGTTTTGAATAAAAATTCAACTGTATTTTCTTTTTTTTAAATATTTTTTCTATCTTTTATAATCCAAAAATCGATAGGGATTTCATAATTATTTCTAATATTTGTGTTTAATTTAATGAAAAAGATTTTAATTATAATAAAAAAAACACACCCTGAATAAGTTAATTATTTGAAGATTAAGGATTATTTTTTTAATTTTTATCAATTTACTAAATGATATATATAGCCAATATATATCTAAGTATATCTCATTATACTGTAATGCAATTTTTCTGTTGCTAGCATTCACTTAACTAGGCATTAATACTGATATTTAATGCAAGCCTTAGGCAATTGTCATTACCTATATCTAATGTTTATTTCTAAGTATTTATTATTAATAATTTTACTCATTAATTTAAAAGTTTATCATCATTTTATTCTTCTTCTCAATAAAGTATCCATCTATCAGTCTTTAGAATGTATTATTAATATAGGAAAGTATTTTAAAAATTTTATTGGATTCTCCATAAAATATATATTATATTCTTTCCAGTATATTGTATTCCAAAAAATAAATAAAGAAAAAATTTTTAGCATTTCAAATTCAAAATGAAAAAGATGGAAAACCCTTTTTTTGTCTATAATATATTTAATTTCACATTCAATGCAGAGAAAATTCTTTATATAGTGGATTTAATATTTTTAGTGTATTTAGTAAAAAAAAGTATACTCTAGTTTACATAGAATATAAGATTTTTAAAATTTTATATTGTGTATACTCAATGTTCTCAATTGTTTGAAAGAAACCAATAAACCCAATGTTCTCAAAATAAATTGTAAAGAAAACATTAGGAAAAAAATGAATTATGAAAAACAATGAAGAAAGATTGAAAAGAGAATAAATTTTATAAAATCTAAAGTTCTATTTTCGGTCATTCACTTTCGTGATTTCAAATTAACATAATAATTAGAGAGCATCCATCCGAGAATCGAAAATTGTTATAAATTATCTTCATTGAAGTCGTAGATAACACGCGAATCGTTGAATTTTTTAACACTAATAATAAATAACTAACTGAAAAGTTTTATCAGATTATCTCCTTCCTCAATTGCTTGACCATAATTTCTCAATTAAGTCGATTAAAATGTAAAACTAGAGGCATTTTAATGTATGTGATATAAATTTCATTTTGTAACTTTAGACAGCGAAGAAAGATTCGTGTTATAGCCTATATATATATATATACATATAAGGTAAAAAATAAAATAAGAAAAAATGTATGTGAGGCAAAGATGTCACTTCACATCCGGAGTACAGATAGCTTGTAAATGAAATTGGTAGCAAGTAAAGTTGAATGTTATCGCTAAACGTCATGCAACTTTCTCTTTTCTATCAATGCGGAAATTGATAATGCCCTAGGCAGGTTTTCGTCGACTAATTTCCCCGTTATCTCCATATAGCCTTACATAGTTACGAGCTAGTTCATGACTCTTATCTCAACCTGGTCGCTAAGGTCTCTCTTTCCCTCTCTCTCCCTCTCTCTCTCTCTCTACCTACCAAAATCTTACCTCTTGAAAAATTTGTTTAGAAATATTGAACTTTTATTATTTTAAATCTTTGATAATTACTTAGATTAACCGACAATTTAATTAGGCCATTTTGTTAAATTTAGCCATTACTGTTTAGATTCCCAACCGGTAGTTCGCGATCTACGCACGTTTTAATTAATAAAGCCAAATTTCCGGTTAAGAAAATTAGATTGAAAAGGTTTATTATACGATAACGTTATTTTTGGTATGCGGTTTTAGTAGTTTTGTCGGCGAAGAGCTGGGAAAAACTTCAAAAAATTTGAAAGTAGATGAGACTATGCGAAAATGATTGTGTAGCGCAACTTCTAAAATACTTCCGATCCTGATGCAAAACCAATATGCCAATATAAAGTCGTATATTTTGTCTAAAGCCGTTATCGTATCTTAACTTTTCGTATCGTATTATGATTTTTGAAAAGTATCACTCTTCCACTTGTATCTTATTGAGACCAAATACATGATATATACGAAGAAAAGTCGCAAACATAATACTATATTATAAATCACTGTAGAAAATAGTGGAATACTTGAATATATTTGAATAACAAGATACGATTCCTGTATTTGTTTTCATACGAAACGAGTCCCCAAAAGTGAGAATACTTTTATTTGATTCCTAATTCATAAATTTTATTTTACTTTTTCCGAACCCACAAAAATTCTAAAGAACAATCCATTATTTCTCTGTTCTTAAGTTATTATAGAAAAAAACTATATAAAATAATCGTATTGAATCATATTATTATCTCAGAAATCATAAAAAACTATAAATTTATTACTTATAAATCATCTAGAATTATCCTATCATAAAAATTCATATATAATCTATAACTTATTATATAGAAATCCTTGTTTTTTATCTAAAATAATCTGGAATTATATTATTTAAAAGCATATAAATTTATTATTTTACATGTAAAAATCATATGAAACCGTCATCTTATTACCTAAAAACTTAAGTAGGCCGTTTCTTTTCGGATATCGAACTCACTAGCGTTTAAAATTTCCAAAAAAGAAAGGCAACCGGCATATGGCACAACGTATCGAACATCCGCTCTTTAATAATATGCATATAAATAATACGTAACAATGCAATATTTCGTGATCATAAAATTATGCCCTATATTAATATATAGAAAGCACGCTACCTTACTTCTTACCATTGGAAAAAAAAGTAAAGTTTCGCAACGTTGCATTGATATAATTTCAAGTAAATTATAGATCTATAATTGCATTCACAATGAAGCAATTCAAATCTCGGGATTTTAATATTTTAAAACATCTCTTTAGCGTTAGGAAAGACATAAAATAAGAATTAAAAGCCTGCAATTGAAAGTAATGACGAGTAATAATAAAAAACTAATGTAGAAATTGGAGATTTTTATTATATATCACGAAAATTATTATTATTATTTCTCCTATTATCCAATTGTATGCCTGGTTAATACTCTCTATAAATGATCTGCTGTTCAATATAAGAAAAAAAAAATATTATTCTATATATTATTCATGCTTATTTTTAGATATATTTTTAAAACATTATAGTAAATAACGCTACAGCATAGTTATAAGTTAGTAATAGTTTTAAATTGGGTTTATCAACCTGGGGTTCTCGGTCGACATTTTCTTCTAATATATATACAAGAAATAAGAAAGGTTGAAATGCATTAGAATAATCAATTCTAGCTCTATTGTCTAAGTAAACCTTAGATGGATTTTTAATGTTATTTTCAATTAATGATATGTTTATAAAAGGATATATATAATGCTTTATAAAATAATGTTTTGACTTATAAGTAATATCAAAGGATAATTATAGTTTTATTGTAGTTTATAAACTTGGGGTTCTCGGGCGAGTTATTTTTTCTATTAAGTGTGAAAGAAGTAAGAAAGGTTGAGAGGCGTTAGTATAAACTCCTTTCAAACATTATTTTTCCTAGGTTAGAGAATGCTATTAAAATTGCTGAAGATAAGATTGAACGATTTAAACCAAGCCGATTTTATTTGTGAATTAAGGTACGAAAATATATGTTTTATAATAGGAAGATTTGCTACTGTCTAAAGGATAGTGATGAAAGTTGGGGTTATTTTAAATTGGTGATACGTTAAAAAAAGAAGAATTTATAATATAACAATAACAATAGAAATACAGGTCTATATAACAATAGAACGTTTCTACAGCAACGTTTCAGTTTATAAATTATCGTAAATAATATGACGACATAGAACTTATATTTCTGATGGTTATTCAACTTAGGGTTCTCGTGCGACATATATTTCTAGAAAGTAATACAAGAAGAAAGAAAGGTTGAGTAGCGTTAGTATAAACAGTTTTCTATCCTTGATATTTTTGAGAAATAAGGCACGAATATAAAATTTTAGTTTTATATTTAGAAATAACTGTAATTGTCTAATGCAGTGTTTTCCAATCTGTAGGGCCCACGAGAGTATGGCAAAGGGGCGCGCAGCTTTTACCAAATTATCATTTTTTTAATACAAACAAGCAAAATAAGTCAAATCGATGTCGAAAAAATGAATCAGCAAAAAGGTTATTCCAAATTCACAACCCTCGTCCGAATTACTCGGATACGACTGCTAAAAATCCATTCATACTCTTGCAGAAACGTCTCGACAAGAGTCGAACCCGGGAACAATATACTTTATTTAATAAGGTATATTGTTTTGTAGGCCATCAAATAAATTTTAAAGACAATATTTATGAAATTAGATTGTTACGAAAATTGAGGGGGCACAAAAATTTTTTTCTGAAAAAGAAGAGGCAGAGGCACAGAAAGTTTGGAAAGCAATGGTCTAAGGTATAACAGACTCGTCGGTGTTATTTTCAATTGGTGATATGTTAAAAACAGGAGAATTTATAGTATACAACAATAGAAATATATCAAGAATTCTCTGGGCAAAATGATGGAAGTTTTAGGTCGTAAATTTCTGCACCAATTTTACTTTCAAAAGTTTTTTGTTTTTCTCATTTTTACGGATTTACAACATTTAAAAATCAGGTGACTCTTATTGTTTCGCTCGTAATAAACAATATAAATATACAATCCAATTTACTTAAAGTAATTCTTTATATAAATTCGTAAGTGACATTTCTGTCTGGTTAATTTTCATTTCGGCTTTTGTCTTTAAATTGTTATGGGAATAGACACGAAAGCTTTGGGAATAATAATAATGCAGTTGGATAACTGTGAAAATTAATACCATATACTGCTGGGAATTTAAATTCATAATAACGTAGATTAATTTAACTATATGCCTTCAGATTGTATAAATATATGTTGATATGGATATGCCTGAATAATATTTAAATAGTAGTAAACAGAGAAAACAAATGTTTATTCAAATGACTTGTGTTTAGTATACGAGGATATAAGCCCGAGTCAATTATGGCGCATTTATCGTGAGTTTTATGCTATTCTGTGCATAATTACGAGTTACACTCGACGTATCTTGCGTGTGTTTGATAATCGTACGCTAAATACGGCTCTTACACTTATGTGTAAGGCGTTAAACGTGGCTTTATGGTATGTACGATTCGTCGGAGAATATGCACTCTTGCGGCAATTTTACGTCATTTTTTCACTTAACTTTTGTAAAATTGATAAAATGATACCACTTTGATATAGTTTTTTCATTTATCTATTTAAAAAAGGTGTCACTTACCACTTTTACGCCATTTTTGCGTTATTTTGTTTTAAAAACATTTTAAAAAATCTCACAATTTGACGGAATTTTTCCATTTATTCTTTTAAAGAACAGGAAGAATAATGTCAAAATGAAATAAATTAATTGACATAATACAAGAGTCAGAATACATAATAAAAGTTAAGCAACTTTTGAAAAAGGAAGCAGTAATTGTCAAGAAGAGCGAAAATATATTGATAAAGCTTTATAAAGTTAATATTATTGTTTTTCAGGAACACAGCCACAAGTCATACAGACCCATATGCGTTCTGACGTTCCGCATTAATTATATGATCGACGAACTCAACCCTCTAGGATATCATTTAGTGAACGTTCTTCTCCATGCCCTAGTTTGCATACTTTACCTCAGGTACGTGCTGTTTTCCGAGGATTAGTGGCTATGACAAATAACCCGGAAAAAGCAATTTCTTCCATAAATTTGTAACATTTACAACCTTGATGATGAAAATAATTAATAGCAACAATTTTCCATCTTCTTGATCCCAGCAAACAAATTTTCTCTGAAATTCTGTCAGTGTGTTACATCAAGCGGATTAAAAATAATTGATGGATAGATACTTTCTCTTATAGGTTATGTTACATGTTTCTACCAGCGGAAAGCAGTTTAGTGGCAGCCATGTTATTTGCTGTACATCCTATACACACCGAAGCGGTAAGTATGATTTAATTATAATTAACTGTTTTGAATTTCTAAATGGATACTTAGCAGACTTATTCTTTAAAATTTGAAAGAATGTATTTAAAATATTTAAAATACTTTCTCCTAACTTTAAATTTAATATTTAAAACTACAGTAAAACTTTACTTCATTAAGTATTTACTGGTTGAAACATATATCAAGTTAAACATAGTCAAATTAAACAGTAATGATGAATTGTTACATTATCTAGCGGAAAACCTCGCTTATTCTGTAATTATACCTTATTCTGGGTCAAATAATACATCATAAAATTTCATAATATTCATATTTACGGCGAGTCTTTGTGTTTAGAATAATTGTTTTTATTGAAATGACTTTATATACTTTCAAAGTTTTCGAGAAAATAATTAAAAATATAAGCATTATCATCAACGATACAATTACTTTATTGCTCTTAAATTACGAGTGTCGAATGTCACCCGTAAGCACGTTGCACATAAAATTGTACAGGATACGCCCATACATTTTGGTGTATTTGCAGATAAAAATGTTATTTTTTAAGAAAACTATTTGAATATTTTCAGGTGACCGGTGTTGTGGGTCGAGCGGAAACTTTGTCTTCCGTCTTTTTTCTGTCAGCTTTCTTGTGCTACATCCAATGCTCTCAATGGAAGTGGACAGGTGAGCTGCGTATCAATAAGAAGACTTCGACTCTAACACGTCAAAGCCTTGCTTACAAATTTGATATTCTATTACGATTTCGCCATCTGTACCACAAATTTGTTCCGTCAGCATATTTTTTCTATTTTTTGAGTCGAAAACAGCGCAGAATACGTTAGAAATAAATGGAATTTTTTCGAATTTTACAATACTTTTTTTCTTTTAATTAATAAGAAAACCAACTTCTGCGTAAATAATTAAAAATTTAATTATTATTATTTTTTTTTCTAAAAAAAAAAGTCAGTCGATATGTATTTGCTTAATGGATAGAATATTGTGACTTTTTAGAATCTAACGATCACGATATCACGTTATTATTATCTTAAAATAATCATTTGTAATTGTAATTAATGATTTTTTTCGAAGGTTTAGACTGCGCTTTTATTTTTTAATTTAAATAATGGTAATTGCCATTTTGTTCTGCAATAATTCTAATTAAGCTTTCAAATAAATTTTATGCGCTTAACTTACGTCTAAACTTTGTTTTTTATTTATTTTATTTTATTTTATTTTAGAAAGTTCAATGATAATTTTAAAAAATATAACAAATTAGTATTGTTATTTATGTGTTTAATAGTGTAGAATCTGTGCTAAATTCTAAAAAAAAATTCATTTTTCTTGTTGCTTATGTGTTAAATAATGCCCTTGAACACACTTTAAATTCTAAAAAGTTCATTTTTCTTGTTGCTTATGTGTTAAATAATGCCCTTGAACACACGTTAAATTCTAAAAAGTTCATTTTTCTTGTTGCTTATGTGTTAAATAATGCCATTGAACACACGTTAAATTCTAAAAAATTCATTTTTNATGTAAATTTTGTATAAATTATTATTATTATTTTTTCCACCGCTCGACATTTTTATACAGTTTAGAAGTCATACATAATGTAAAACATATAAAAATGGAAAGCTAACGTATTCTTTTACTTTTCCGTTTTCACTATTTCCGTTGATTTTTGAACGACTTTACATTTTTATTTATCGTATCTTTTGTTACTTTTTATATCCATTTTTATCCTTCAGACCCTTTTACTTTTTACTTTGCTTTTCATATTGGTTGTACAGTACTTTCACACGGAAAGGGAGCAGATGTTACTAAAGCTTCCTCTACCCTCCTTCAAGATTAAAAGTAATATCTTGTCTAACCCATAATCATACAATAGACTAACAAGGAAGTAATAAATTAAAACAAAAGTTTTCAGACGTTAAGGATTGAACCGGAGCTTTAGTATACGCTGATTGTGATTGTCCACAACTAATTTCAACGTTTCGATAGTAAATGAAGTGTCGAGAATAAAATTAAGTCGGGATTTATACGGTATATTAGTATAAGGAGATTAGTTAAAACAGTATTAATTAAATTGGAAGACGTTGGTGTTAATGGCAATCTATAGGATTAAAAAAGTATTTAATGAAGTAGAAAGCTACTTATGTTCCCGAATTGAGCCTCATAAAATAGTTGTTCCGCAATCTTAAGCGAAGTTAGGAGAAATAAAATTGCTCTGTCAATGATTGCTTTTCTATGAAGGCGATAAAATAATTTGAAAAATGATAGAGAAGATAATCAGGAAAGGATCAAAGTTAAAATCAAATAAAATTTAAATATTTTATGAGGAAATAAAAATAACTTCTAAAAATTCCCCATTTGTTTATTACTTCGTTTCTGTAGGTGTAAAAATATTCACCAATTTATTGGGAAATTTAATAATTTACTCAAAATAAGCTTAGTTTGAATGTCTAAAAAGGTTTTTTCGGAGTGATTTAATCATATAAAAAGGTTTCTTTACTGTTAGAAGATTAAGTGCCTAACATATTAATTTACTGAAAAAATCCGGTTGCAATTTCTCAGTTTAATTTCCATTTAAACAGTTAAAAAAGGACAAATAAAGCAGATTAATTCGTAAGTTAGCTTAAAAAACGACATTTTGAGTAAGTTTTTTAAAGTAAATTAGTGTTGTAAATTCTTTAGAAGTTGGGTTAAGTCGACCAATAAATCTATTAAATTAATGTCTATTGATAGTCACAACGATTAAAATATTCATCAGGACATATCTTTTGTCGAAAGTGGCTCTCTCTCCCTCAGGTGACATCACGTCTTTAACCGAAGATTGCAATCCGTCTCCATTAATACAATTTCCAAATTCATCATCTTGAAACGTTTCGTGTCCGCATTAAGACAATGTAAAGTTCGTTAGGGATTTTCATCTTGTTCAAATTAGTGCCAGGAGGGAGAGTAATTACGAAACGCGTAATTTCCTTAACTGGTTCTATCGCTGACAACGAGTGGAAGTAATTTTCTGCATTCGGACGCCGAGGGGATTTATACTTTCCACATATGATTTAAACATGAATTTCCAAACCAAATCTAACACAAAAATAAAGAATTTGCAAACAACTTTATATATATACTGTATATTACTTATCTCCCTTACAACCATTATCGATTTTCGACTTGTATTTTCTTCAGCGTGAAATTTTCAGCAATAAAAACTGTACTTTACAAGTTAACAGTAAGTAAATTAATGCAGGACATTAAGAAAGCCTCTGTTAACCGAATTTATTTAACGTTTTTTTCAAGGCAAAAAACTTGCTTCCTCGACCTCGTCCAGGTGAACAGTACCAAGCCCGTGTGGCTCCGAGTCATCTGAACGTTTTTCTAAATCTAGGAAATTTGATATCTAGGAATGATACCAGACTAGAAGAAGCCGATTCGGTGAGAATTCTTTGTTCTTTTCACTCGGATAAACGTTAAATAATTGGAACAACCATCGACCAAACTCTCCCCCTTTTCGCTTTGCCATCTCAAAAGTAATGTTTTATCTCATTAAAATTGTATTTTATAAATAAAAGCTGTATTTTTAAAAGTTTTAAGACGCTTAAACGTGTAAAGTTTCTGTTATAACTTTCGCAACAGCCTCGTTATTACTAGGTGATTGTGAACGTTATAACAGAAACTCTTCCCCCTTTTCGTTCTAGAATCTCAAAAATAATGTTTTATATCATTAAATGTTTTATTTTATAAATAAAATACGAATTAAAAAAGTCTGTTTTTATAAGTTTTAATATGTTTAAATGAATAGCGCCTCGTTATAACGAGACGATTCTGAGCGGTGTAATGGCAATGCTCTTATTTAACTTAAACTAATTATGGATAGTTACTTAAAAATTTATAAACTTTAAATAACTTTCAAGATGTTTAAATGGGTAGAGTTTCTGTTATAACATTCACAACCGCTTCGTTATAACAGAAACTCTTCCTCTGTTCGTTCTGGCATCCCAAAAATAATGTTTTACCTCATTAAAAGTGTATTTTATAAAATAAAATAAGTAAAACAAAAGTGAATTTATAAGTTTTAAGATGTTTAAAAGGGCAGAGTTTCTGTTATAATGCTTAAAACTTTTATTTAAGTTAAAATAATTATAGGATTATTTAAAATTTGTATAGAGGAAGTAACAAAAACACAATAAGCTTTTTTTAAAATTCATTTAAAGTAGATCTAGAGAATTAAATTCGTAGTTAAAGTTAAGTAGGAGTTATATTAGTGGAGGAGATGATACGATGACGTTATTGAGTAAAATTGATTTGAGAAAGATGCTTTTAGGGAAGAGAAATTCAAGCTTCAGTAAATGTATTATTACGGTCGTGCATTATTCTGAAAAGACCCATTAATGTTGTAGTTAAGTTCCCCCCTTTCAGTTTGCAGTTGGAAATTTGATATGCTATATATTTGTTGTATATAACTTAGGAGTATACAGGCAACATTGTCTTTCCAGAGGCGATTGTTAATCATTAAACGAACGGAAGTGTAAGACTATCCCTTTTGATTTTATAATGCTTATCTCGTAATTAATGATAAAAACTAAAACGAGTAATTATGTGGTATATAATCAATGATTATAAATTTGCGGCAGAATGGGTTAATAAACAATTAAAATAGCTTATAAATTATATTTTCTAACAAATATTCGGCTTAATTTTCTCATTTCATAAATATTCTTGGTGTAAAACTGATTAGTTAGTTAAAGATTTGAAAGGGTAATGAACGGTAATTAAGTAATTTAAACGGCTGTTAAGAGATTTACTTTATCGTCGACACGATTTCTATAAAGCAACCACTTACCCTATATAAATTATTATTCTAATAGAGTCGTAAATACAATTTTAGAATCACTTATATTAACAATTGTGCTATTCCTTCTTACAGCTATACAAACAAGCTATTAGTATGAGGGCAGATTATATCCAAGCTTACATCAACAGAGGGGATATTCTTGTAAGATTAAACAGGTTTGTTGCCATTTTGTCATGTTGGAAATTAACTCCAACGGATTAAAAACGGTTTATCTATTGTATAAATCTAATTTTATTATATCAACCACTTAATTATAATATTCTTTAATACTATTAAATTGTTTGCGTCATCTGAAAGTGACTTCAGTCTTTTATAGAACCGAAGAAGCCAGAGAAGTATACAAGAAAGCCTTAAAATTTGACAGCAATAATCCTGATTTATATTATAACGTAAGTTTTAATCAATTTTTTTTTAAGAAATTTTTTTCTCAATTATTTCTTATTAATTAAATTTTATAATATAGTTAGGGGTTGTTCTGTTGGAACAAGGACGTTCCAGCGAAGCTTTACAGTATTTCGATAAAGCCCTGAAATTAGATCCAGGACACGAGGTATATAAATAACTCGATTATTTAATGACTTGAAATATAATTAACGAACAATTTGGATAATTTTTAGAACTTTTTATAGCAAGCTTTAATGAATTCCGCCATATTAATACAAGAAACTGGAAGTCCCCAATTAAGGAAAGTCGCTCACGAAAGGTAATTTTTTGTTTAAATCCAGTTATTGTTATTTATTTTAATTAAAAATTTAATTATAATTGTTAAAATAATTTAATTTAGTATATTTATTTAAGGTTGAACGTATTACTACAGAAGGGAAAAGCTAGTGAAAGGGTGTATTTCAATCTAGGGATGTTAGCCATGGACAATCGTGATGTCAGTGAAGCCGAGAAGTGTTTTCGTAAAGCTATTGAGGTCTGGATGATTTTGCAAGTTTAAACCATGTAAATACACGAAAATCTTAATAATCTTTTTGTCTTCTTTTTTAGTTACGTGACGATTTTAGAAGTGCCCTTTTTAACTTGGCGTTACTTCTTTCCGATGCTCACCGTCCTTTCGAAGCTGTGCCTGTTCTAAAGCAATTGTTAAAAGTGAGTAAACTTAATAAATTATTTGTTAATGAATAAGAAAATAACGTTTCGTTTTCGTGTACAGTACAACCAACAAAAATACATTAAACAGTACTTTGGGTGGAGTTTTTTATTCTTTAAATATATCCCTGCACTCACGGAATATATCCATAAATTTATATCAATTTTTAAAAGAAATTCTCTATAGTAAATTTTACGAAATGATTTTCTCATTTGGGAATTTGAAAGTTTTATTATTAAAATTGATTTTCCTGAAAGTTTAAATGTGTAAAAATAAGCAAGAAAAAAAAAATGTTTTGAAGGAGTAAATTAAACAAAAAATCGAATATTTGTGTAACATTTTATTCGATTTATAGATTAAAATTATTTTTAATTACAAACTAATTAGTTATTTTCGAAAATCTCTCATTTATTGATTATTTTTAATTTATTTTTATGAATTTAAATTAATGTTTTCCAACCGGTAGATCGCGAACGCTTAAGTATCATTCTGTCTAATACTCATTTGTCAGATAAAAGAAAAGGTTGGGAAGAAAGATAAGAGAAAGGGTGTGATGTCAGATCTAATATACATATATATATTTTATTTATTCCACTGAACGGTGACTTATTCATTTATTATCCGGATTCATTATTTATTAATCTATTCGAATAATTACAATAATTATTAGGATAATTTAAGCTGAAATGCTTATTTTTCAACCAGTAGCTCCCGAGTTCTACAAGAACATTCCTAATTAATATTCATTTGAGAGATAAAAGAAAAGGTTGAGAATCAATTTTATTTAGCAGCTTTCTATTTACAAAATTATTACAATTTACAATTCTTAAATTATAAAAATATTTATGCAATTGAATTAAAAAATTCTATTTTACTCCTTTATTAATTGAGGGATAAAGGAACGTGTCAAATTATTTGCTAATGATCATATACAGTTTCTATTGATTTATAAAAAAAGAAAAAAGAAAAATAATAAAAATAATTGGATTATTGTATCATTAAACAGGTCCACATCTTAAAAAAATATATTTGACAGTAATGAGAATGAAAATGATGTTGCTACAAACAAAACAATGACCTACATCTCTACAGATGATTGTCTTTTTTCCTCATTTTTTACTCACAACTGAATATTAATAAAGAAATGATCCTAATTATAATTTAATATATAATTAGGAAATGTGTAGATCATGAAAAATGTAACAGAGGGGGAATAAATAAATATATATATACAGAAAGGGGAAGGTTTGAGAGTTTAATATCCAGAAAATAATTATTTTTATGCAGAATTTGTCATTCTTAATGATAAAATAATATTATTTATCTTCATTAATAAATACAATTATTAACGAGAGATTAAAATATTATTTCCCTGCAATTTCTGATTGTTTAAATTGAAAAAAATGGGAAAATATTATTGAATTGACATTAAATATAATCGTTAAAATTGGAAAAATTACAATTAAGTGATGCGGAAGATTTATTATATTTTTATTTAAAAAAATTTTTTCTCTCATACAAAAATTCGATATTCCGTGTGATTTTTTTTAGAAATAAAGTTTATATTCTAAACTATTTCTCAAGTTAAATATTCTTTTTTAAAGCTAAGGAATTTTTTTGAAGTTCTCCTCCTTTTTCTTTATGGAGAAAGAGAGATGAGAATTAAAGAAATTCAAAAACAGATATAAACATTGTTTAGAGAAATGATTGATCTGACTACAAGAAATGGATAATTATGTTGTTTTTTTAGATTCTCTATGATCATTATAATTGTTCAATAGTTAAATTGAGAATTTGGTTTTTTTAGATGCGCTCCAATCATTCAAAATAAACGAGAATAACTGTGCGAGTCTGTCCCATTTATCGATTTATTGTGCAGACTGTCTTTATTTTGATTACTGCACTTCCTTCGAGAGTTAATCGGTCGATATGGATACAAATTTATGATCAAGATGTTTACTATATCGAATTAAGATAGAAACCGTAGTATTGTAAGATAATTAGAAAAGTTTTACTACATCCTAATGAGTTGTTTAGTTTAAGAAAGATAATTAAATTTTATTTAAAACAGCATTTTCTATATTTAATTTAGAATCATCCCGATCATGTAAAAGGTCTTATACTCTTGGGAGACATATACATTAATCATGTTCGCAATTTGGACGCTGCTAAACAGGTGATAACAATCAACTTTATTAAATATTCATTCTTAGTTTATTAATCACAATATTCGAATAATTTAAATAATAAACTAATCTCAATTTAATATTTTATTAACGTTAACGTTTAATTTTATTGACATTCAATGCGCGAAACTCGGGAGGATTTTAGTGTCTGTCGTTGTTATTCATTTGTTATCGTGTATATTTTTTCCCCTTTGTTTTTTTTTATAGTGTTACGAAGATATTTTATCGTTGGAACCTTCCAATATTCAAGCGTTACATAATTTATGTGTGGTGTACGTGGAACGTGGACTTTTATTAGAAGCCGAATCGTGTCTGAAGAAAGCAGTGAGTATAGCTCCACACGAAGAATACGTCCAACGTCATCTAAAAATCGTTAAAGATCGTCTAAAACAGCAAGAAGATAAACAATCGCTAAATGGACGAAACAGCAGTTATTCTAGCAAATTTTCGCTATTAAATTAATATATATAAATATACCAATCGTTCGAGTGACGAGTGACAGAATCATCAAAGAAGTTCCTAGAAATGATTGATTATTGGTGCTATCTGGTCCTTCACGGGATACCTAATAAACATCTATGCTATGTACTAATTAAGTAGTAATATCCGTGTACATACAGTAAATAGGACCATTATTTTTATATGTGCACCTTTTCTGTTTAACAGCGAGGTGTAATCATTGGTGTTTGTGACGAAGACAATTCGATTATTTTCTGTGATAAACGGAATTTAGAATACATTATAATGTATTATTTTACCTTTTTTCTTAGTTTCAGGTATGTACATGTTTATAATTTACATATTATTTGCTATATATAATAACAAGAGCGCGATTATGTTGTGTAAATGTTCAATTCCTCAACAGTTCTACGGAATAGAGTTCTATTTTTATTGTATATTCATTAGTTTGCGTATACCAAAGATATCATGTAATGTGTTCTTAGTTATGGGCATATCAGTATAATTACATCCTGTGATCAATAAATTACAGTTCAATTTTTTAAAAAATTAACGAATATTTTAATCTTTTAAAATCGTATCCATACAAAGTCAAGAACAATATAAAAGAACAATAAAGACGGCTGAGAGGATTTGCGGGCATTCAAAAAATACTTTTCGTATCAATATTTCCGAGTGAAAAATAATTGAAAACAATTTTCTTTAATATTTAAAAGTAATATTTTATGAATAAAATTGGATAAAAGGTAAAAACTTCACGGGTCATCAACTGCAAAGAAAGAACATAATGACTCTTCATTCATCCATGAATTTTACAAAACTAGAATAATTTTTGATTCAATCGACTGTGAATTCTTTCGGAATTATTCGAAGCAAACTCTTCGAATATTTCCAATTTTGATATTAGAAAAAAAGAAAGAAAAAGTCAAGTTAATCGATAATATAGGTAATGGCGAAAACTATTATCTCTCTAGCAAGCCATTAAGATATAAGTCAATAATGAATATCTCATAAAGAACGAGTGAAAATCTATGCCATTACTGAGGTATATTACGTGATAACAGTACAGACAGATATCAATTTGTTCCGCATACAAGAAAGTACCGTTATTAGATTAATTGAGGATCATTGTACGGGGTCATACGACAATTTTTTAGAAGAAATTACTTTATCACACCAACTTCTTTCTTTGAAACTTTAATAGGAAATTCCGAATCTCGTTCTGCTATGCATCCATAATTCATTGGAAAGCAACTGCTAATGTCTTAAGTTTTGTTGCTAAATGTCTGATGTAATTGCCAAGGTACCCCCAATTGTTCGACTCGTTAAAAGTTTAAAACCATCGCTAATATATCATTTGATTTTGTTAATTAAGTAATGGGTATTAACCTTTACAACTCCGGAATATATTATATACTGATTGTTACCATCTCTAGATATTGGATTCGCTCTTGGAATTCTAAATGAATACGAGGTTTTGGTATCCTAAGATTGTGCTTTCCATCCACGTACATTAACCAATGAGTACATGGAATATTTTATATCCCGACAAATAACAGTCAGTAGCGTGTGGCAAGTCGTAACATTTAAACTTCACTCTGTCTGACCCGAAGGAATGTAATTTGCTTAATATAGACTGGTTTAATTATTAAAGCAATAAATTCTTTAATTTACTTTATATTGATTTTTATTTTTGTTTGTTAACGTTATGTCATAACGTTATGTTTCCAAAGTGGAAACGTACAGGATATATCAAATTTATACCTTAGGGATTTGAAACGTTGCCAAATACTAATTCCGAGTTTAAGTGTAAATTTATTTGTATATTAAAAATGATTACAGCTCGAAATTATAGAATACTTCTTAGGGTTTTCATTAATTAACAATCAATCTTTCTTGCCACTTAATTTTTATTAGTGTTACTTAATCCAATATTTTCTATATTTAATGTTGGAAATTAATTCTATATTTTTTAAATAGTTTCTTACGCTGAGAAAACGTTGCTTTTGTTAATTTTAACAATAACACAATGCAGAAATTCCATTCAAAAAAACGTTGACAGAAACTATTGGTAAAAATAAGGTAGAATTTAAAATAATCAAAAAATAAATAAATAAAAATGAAAAAAAGAGAGAAAATAATAGAATGTGCAACTTTGTATTTATAGTGTCAAGTGAAAAATCACGCCCTTTGTATAAAAGTAGAGTGAAGTCAGCCTTTCAATAACAGAATGAAAGCTTCTATTCACATTCCATTGAGATCAACCTTATCGCTTACTACGAAGGCAGAAACCGGACTTTATTCCATTTTTATTGAAAAAAAATATATATATAGTCATCTATCTCTACTTCCAGTAAATTTATGCCGTTTTGTGAATGATATAAGCTGAATAGTAGTTCATCTAGCCAATAGAATGCTATCATTTGACCATTTTATGATCTGCACAAAATAGGTGTCTGAAACGATCGATGTCGATAGATATCTATTTTCTTTGAAAACTAATCTGCTATCGCACTAAAATGGATCGAATTTCGTACATCTAACTCAACTGAATGCTAAAAGCCAGAGAATGTCACCATGACTCACTTTTCCAATACGCTTATTCATTGGAAACCATTGATAACGGAGAGTATAAGGACACCAGACATAATTTTTAAACTGTCAAAACAATAGGAAAAAAAATATTTCATCCTCGAAAACTTTTAAAATTTATGAAATTTTTAACTCGGATTATTTACTGTTTAATTAAACGTATAAAATAAAAGGAATTTACCTAAGAAATGTATATATATGCGTGTGTATGTAACCCCTCTATTCAAACTCATTACTTACGGTTTTATCTTCAATGTGTTTGCATAAATCAAAGGATTGGAGAGGTTCTCTTAGTATAAGCTCTCGTCACATCGCATCAAAGAGGATTCAAACGCCCAAACTAAAACTAATCGCTTCTTTGATACCGAGATATTTCAAGTTGTCATGAAACTTGTCGCGATGTCTCCTCGCGATCGATATTTGTCGTAAAGATGTTCTGTTGCTTTCTGATAACACCTGGAATTGACCATAGCAAAAATTTACAACTGTAAATTAAAGGAGATTATGTCAAAATACATATAACTTCACATAATTAGCTTTAAAAAAGGATTTTTTTTCTTATCNTTTCATTTTGTGGAGTAATTCCCACCATACCACTAACCAATCAGCTAAATAAGGAAACGTGACGCTAACTATGGAATGTATCCCTATCGACATTGTATGGGTGTGACCACAGATCACTGTGCAGCGATTGACCCAAATACCACTCAGACTCCGTAATTGGCTCATCTTATCCTTAAAATCAGATAATTCTATACCGCAAACCGGGGAAATCGCGAAATGTGCCTAAATAAATGAGTAGAAAGAAATCATCCAAAAATCACCATTTTCTTTTGTACCAATTTTCTCTTAGTGCAATTTTTAAACAATCATATTTTGAAGTTAAAATTATTATATAGAAAAGCTATTTTTATATGAATCTCTAAAAGAAAAGCAGTACCAAAACATGTATAAGAGTATTGCAAAACCTCTAAATGAGTCCTTTTTTAGAGTATTTAAAACAGTAATTTAAGTAAAGAAGAATTAAATGATATCCTGCGACTTGGGTATTTTTCCTCTTCAATAGGACAAATATGCATTTTCTTTGAAGGTAAAGAAACCAAAGATTCCTTTCTTTGAAGAGCTGTCAATATCGAACCATCGCCTGTGTAATATGAACTCAGAGAATCTCGCATTTCTCCTTCTAAAATTCTAACTTGGCACATCAACCAAATATAATATCAACCAACAATTTTGCATTCGAGCAAAGTTTTCCCAACTTTACTCAAACCCTACTTAATTTTCGAGAAACTGAAATATTTTATCCCTCTCCTTTTACCTTTCAAAAGTATATTCCTCTACTGAGGTTTACAAAATACACTTTTTCTTATTTTTATTTTTCAATTTCTAAAATATAAAATATATTACTAGGAAATTCTCTCTCTGAGGTTTTTGCATTTTTATAATAAAATATATTTTCGTAATACGTTTCTACAATAAAAAATATATTAATATACCTTTGGTAAGAGGAATGTCATACATTTTTCTTGTTTAAACTATTCAATTTTGCATGCAAAAACTATATTTCAGTTTCTATAATGTTTAATTTATAAAATGATTCTGTTATATAAATCAACATCATTTATTTTACTCTTCAACATTTTCTTTTCTTTGCTTTTACAAACCCATTATCGGACTTACTTGCTTCTTATTTAAATTAATCATAATGAAAATAGAAAATTAATTCAAATTATATAATTTCTACTTTTTATTATACTCTTAACTTAATGAAAAAATCATATAAGTTTAATGAAAAGGCCCTATATACAAAGAAGAAACTATCAAGAAGTAAGAAACAATGAATTATGACGCCATTAATTCTTCCAACTGAGAGGTATATCAAGTGTTGTGAATACAATTTCTTCCTATTTTTTTCCCTTTTAAAGTCGTTTCTTTTTACACATCTGAATAATACATACATTAAAAGTAACTAGTATACGCAGTAGCAAATCACTTTTAAATCTGCACACAATTTTCTATAATATTTAATATCATTCTGACTCTTTTATATTCATTTAATCTGTCAGATGATTGATTACTTTAAGAGAAAAAAAAATAATTTCAAATGTTAAATTTTAATAAGTCAAATTGATATTCAGCATAAGTCAATTAATATATTACATAATTCTTTTTTACAGTTTCTCTTTCTTAACTACATTTTTAATTATTAGGATATTAATAAACTTATAAAAATTGTAAAACTAAAGTTTAACAAGCGTTAAAAATAAGAAAATATATACTTTGATGCCGTCGATTCTTAGACTTTTGTCTACCCCAGTCTAATTATCACAGGCTTTTATTTTTGTTGACGTTCTTCCCCTTTGTAAAGTATGGTCTCCAGTCGAATCCCTGAGGGAATGGATGCCTCATCTAGTAGTAGCTAATTGAACAACTTTGCGAAATGTTAAGTAGGCAGTACTCGAATTAATAATTCTTTTATATTTTACAATCTTACATATTTTTCTTTAACAAAAGCATAAATTACATCTCATTAATTGTAACCTTCATTTTGCGCATTATCTTTCTTTTATTAAAAAGTATTACCATCGACGATACTCTTAAGAAAATTTGCAACTATTAAATGAATATCAAATCTCTCTTTAGTTTTAACTTTGATCACTCCGCTGAGAGATTTTTATTTCTATTGACAAAAGTGTAGAAGCAAGTTCGATTCTCCTTACTTCAACGTCTTGATTGAGGCAATTTAATATACCTCAGATTGAGGAATTCCTCTTACCATCTGCTCAACTTCATTAACTTTACAAGGGCGTTTCTGCCAATTTTAAATTTAAAGTATTTAAAATAATAAATAAAATAAAAAAAAACATTTTCATTTAAATTCCTGTTTACATTTTCAGTATTTTGGAGTACATAAATCGTTTTTTCTGCCATCATTTTTGAAAATATAATTATAAAAGAAATTTAAGAAGGAAAAAAAACATCATTTTAACTTTAAAAAGTCAAGCATTTCTAGAAAAGTTTATTATATATTTCGTCTAAAAAATATTTAAATTATTAATG